CCCCAAAACCCCAAAACCCCAAAACCCCGATTGACTGTATAAAGAAATTATTTAAGAATGATGAAATTAAGATAGCTGTTGTTTTAATATAATCCTTTGTTATGACTCTCACTATTCAATAAGCTCAAAGCGCAATTGAAAATCAATGACGTCTACTGTTGATTTTCATTAGAGGAAGACGCTTTGTTCGTTTTGTGGGCAGAAAGTGACTTGATAGTCTACAATATTGACGCTGCCATTCATGTGCTGGCAAGTAAAAGTTGAACTGATGTCATCATATGGATAGGTGTAGGCAGTTGGGCAAGCTTTCTTCATCCATTTTAGAGTATTTTTCATTCTATCATTCCAGGCTGAGTTCTTGTTGACACATTTCTCAGTGTATGGGTATGATGGGACATCAACACCTTCCTCATCCCAGTTAACACATCCACAGCAGGAATCTGAGGCACCTGGTTGATAGCAACTTCCAATTCCAACACAGAGATACATGTTCCAGTTGTTGAATCCAGAGTATGGTGCTGGAAGTCTGTCTTGACAGTTGAATGGTGCACCGAAGCTTGGGATAACTCCACAAACTTGATCAGCAGTCCAGTAACCTAGGTGATTACCGCAGGTCTTTTGAATAAGATCGGCGTGTCCTGGGTTGAAACTAAGACCACATTTGGTTCCTTGGCAATCTGAGTCTGCATTGCAGTGGTTACCACCTGCAGTAACCCAGTTGTAATCATTTGAGGGTGGTTGCAAATCCCATGAGCATGATCCTACATTGGTGTTAGGGTGCTTGGCTCCTGGAGTTCCGCACTTGTATGCGCTTTGACCAGCAACGTTAGTTGGTCCGAAAGACACTGGAAGATGGATTCCGTTAATGACCTCAACATCATAGAAATCGACTCCAGTCTTGACAAGAGTCATCTCTGCCTGAGTAGCTGGTTGCTGGAATCCTTGGCCAGCCTTGCATGCACCATCTCCATTTCCACAATCAGAAGTCTCACATCCAGAAGGTGAGCAGTTAGATCTGCCTCCCATAATGCCACTCCAAATGATCTCTGAGCCATTATCATAAATTGGAATTGAAGTCTGCTTTTATTGATTGGGATCAAGCTTGTAGTTTCCGTCTGAGAATGTTGGGTTTTACCAGAAGCATTGTCTGATAGCTCCTGTCTGGACGCATTTTGATCCTTGGAAACAATCTCCGTCTCCACCGCATGATGTATCAGTTGGAGAGTGAATGTTTCTAGCTGATCCACCTGAAGCGGCAAACCAGATTGGCTTATTGCAGAGATTTCTCACATTGATTTTTCTAATAATTCATGAGATAGTAAGGATTATACCTTTCAGCAGCTCTGATGGTAGTGCTAAATAATAAGAGAGCAATGACGCTGATCTAGGTTCTCATAATTAATCTAATAATATTTTATTGTAAATATCCAATTTTAATCCTTAATAAATACAAACTCTATTATAATTTGCGTTCTTGATAATAATTTTTTTGAATATAGATATTTTCCTATTTTATTGTTATTATGTAGTTAAGGGGTTTTGGGGTTTTGGGGTTTTGGGGTTTTGGGG